ATGTGATCTTAGGTATCTGTGATCAAGTGTGTGGGATGTGATCTTAGGTATCTGTGATCAAGTGTGTGGGATGTGATCTTAGGTATCTGTGATCAAGTGGGTGGGATGTGATCTTAGGTATCTGTGATCAAGTGGGTGTTCTGTCTTGTGTTCATATTAGGCGTGTGTGGGTGTTCAGTCTCGTGTCCATATTGGGCGTGTGTGGGTGCTCAATCCCGTGTTCATATCAGGCGAGGGTGGGTGTTCAGTTCCGTGTTCATATCAGGCGTGGGTGGGTGTTCAGTTCCGTGTTCATATCAGGCGTGGGTGGGTGTTCAGTCCCGTGTTCATATCAGGCGATGGTGGGTGTTCAGTTCCGTGTTCATATCAGGCGTGGGTGGGTGTTCAGTCCCGTGTTCATTTCGTGGTGTGTTTGGTTGTCACCCAGGAAATAAAAGAGTGTACTGTGATACGCCTATGTATGGGAGGAGCCTTTTTGTTGCTAACCTGATACAAATTCAACGTAAGCTGAGGATGTGCTAAAAAAACTAAATCTCAGCGCATGTCCGAGGTATATTGTGATTTACAAGGACTGTTAGCTCATAACGTGACGTCCCAATTTATGTAAGGAAAATTACAACTTACAAACGTCAGAAAACATGCTGGAATGTACGTTAATTTTTAGATTATAAAAAAATCGTAACTTTAGATTAGGACAAGCTTGACTGAAACTATAGCATCTGTAAACTGTGAGGTAGCTAGGGATGACGTACTTGTTTGGCCACCCCCTTCCAAAGATAGAAATGCCACGCCTCAGTATAAATAAAAAGGTGCCGTCTGGGGCAGACGACCGCCCCCCCCCCAACCCCCTCACCCCCCCCCCCACTAGGGATGACGTACTTGTTTGGCCACCCCCTTCCAAAGATAGAAATGCCACGCCTCAGTATAAATAAAAAGGTGCCGTCTGGGGCAGACGACCGCCCCCCCCCAACCCCCTTAACCCCCCCCCTCCACACACACACTCACTTCCTACTCAACTCCATATCAAGAAACATATTATGAGAAACTAGAATTCGAACTGTGAAGTCTGAGATGTATTGAACATGTACATGCGTGGATCAAAACCACTCCCGACCATACAAGTGCGATATGGTGTGCAATAGAAACTCAAAGTATTAGCATGGAGCTATGCCCAAGCTAAACATCATTATGCACCAACAACTCCGAGGCCCACGCCCAGCGATTATCTCCCCTATACAATAGTTACCTTCCCTTAAAGTACCAGGGGATAATCCCCGTGTTTATCACGGCGTGTTTGTGTGTGTGTGTGGGTGTGTGTCTACTATAAATAGCATCCAGTGCGGTCCATTCATTCCATGTTGACTCAATGATCGCCAGCTCTTTAGACTGTCAATACACGGGCTCCTGTCCATGTTTGGGTTAGCGATGCGATCGATACTGATCGAAGTTCAATGAGCCGTTTAAACTGGTCCCGATCGATCCTGGTCTTGTTCGACCTGAGCTGATCAATGGCGCGTGGGGGGGGGGACTTTCCTGGGATCGGAGTACTGAATGGACACATGCATAGCTGATTGGGTGTCATGTATAGGTGAATGGAGAAGTGAAGTACACGTGTATAAGTGATTGTAGCATATGTATATGGAGGGATGTAGTACAGGTATATTGAGGATGGCAGTACATGTATGTGGATGGCAGTACATGTATGGGGGATGGTATTTAGATGATTACTCTGTTTAGCCAAAGGATTCGAAATGAATTTAGATGACACTGAAATGTCTTAGTCTTATTATTATTAAAAATAATAAAAAAAAAAAAAATTAAATAAAAAATTCAGACTTTACCTGCGCAATCATGTTCTACTTGTTGAAGCCCTTACATTTGTTTACATTACCTCGCTTTTGTTCGTGGGGGGCGGGGGGCGGGGGCTGGCTGCCGGGCAAAACCTTATTTGACGGATTTCCCGTTAACCTATCGACCTGCAACCTAAAAAAAAAAAATTAAATAAAAAATTCAGACTTTACCTGCGCAATCATGTTCTACTTGTTGAAGCCCTTACATTTGTTTACATTACCTCGCTTTTGTTCGTGGGGGGCGGGGGGCGGGGGCTGGCTGGCGGGCAAAACCTTATTTGACTGATTTCCCGTTAACCTATCGAGCTGAAACTTGGTACGTAAACTCGTTACCGATGACAACACATTCTATCAAATTTTCAGCTTCAACCCACAAACCCGTTAAAAAATCCGTCTTCCATATTTTGTCTTCAAGGACAAAGATAAAAGGAGTTTCCCGATAGCTGCGCTAAATGAGATTCTTAAAAAAATGGCTCGTGCGTTTGGTGTGTATTATTTTCAAAGTAGTTAGTGAAATACATCTGCGTGTAAAAGCCACTGGGATATTAGAATATTAATATTAAATACAATAATAAAAAATGCACATACATGATATATACACAAAACTTTTTTTTTTAATTGGTTGTTTAATATAATTTCCTATTCTTCCTCTTTGGCCCGTTATTTTAACAAGTCTGCATCTCCCAACTTATCTGTTTCTTACATTCATATTTTGACAATAGTCTGCGAGCCAGAATGTTCTACAGAAACAATCTCGGCTCGGGTGACTTATGTTGAGACCGGCTGGCTTTATATATCTGCGTTCTGTTGAATTTTTTTTCTCCAGAGTCTTTGTATTCCACCCCCCGTCAGTGTGAGATGGAAAACAACTGTTTCGTATGTTCAAACGGCATTTTTCAATGACGCAGTTATTTGAGCAAAAAATTTTTTCCTGTTCAGATTGACCTATTTTTTTTTTCGTTTCATAAAACAAACAAACGAACAAACAAACAAACAAGTGATAAACAATTTTACTAGTTTAACCTCTATTAATTTAAGTTGTTTGCCCCCATCAATTTCACTAGTTGAACAGCTAAAAGTTCGCTATCAAAATTGTTCTTACTGATTTATGTCGATGTAGAGTACAATAAATTAATTTAGTTTTATTGATCCTTTTCTTTTCAAGCAAAGCTGACAAGGCAAATCTAAACTGGTTTCAAGTGTGAAAACGAAACACTGATGACTAATCCAGGACAAAATATGTCTCTATCACTACCAAACGTCACACCGACATTTGATGCGGAGTTCACGCACCAAAATTACACGTCTGTTTAAAAAAATTGGCGTTTGTTTGGACTACCTTTTCATAGTTTTGATATTTAATCTGAACAGTAGCAAGAACATCTCTTTAAATTTCGAGCTCATTTTGAAGTAGATGAAAATATTGGCGCTTGAATTGATGGCTTCTAGAACAAAGAACACAGAGAAGCAGCAGATGAATAGGGATTTACCCGTGCCCTTGACATTGAAGTCTTTGAGAAAGATCATGACCAGGTTACCCACGACTGTTGGCAGGGAGCAGACGATGAAGACTGTGGATAGGGTGACGACCATTTTGACCAGTTGTTTGTCCCGGATGGACACGTGGTTAAGGTAGGAACACATTGAGGTGGACCTTCTCCATTTGGCGACTCTGAGTAGGGACCTCACCAGACCAAGTGTGGACATTGTGACGACGACAAATGCCGTTATCTGAGCTATGATGTAAAAAGTGAGGGTGATGTTTTCCATTAATTCCACATTTGACGCAACAATCAGTCCAACAACCGTCAAGTTAAACTCTTGGTTAAACCTTGGTCCAATCCGATTAGCAACGAAGAGACTCAATGTACTGGACACGAGGACGATATAAATACAGATGACCACCATCCCAGTCCTCCAGGGAGTCAAAAGTGATTTGACACGTAACGGCCAGGCGATGCACAGACACCTCTCTACGGCGATAAAAGCCGTTAAACAACCGGCTATCCGGCTGAATAGCACGTGGGGTGTGCCCAGCACGACGTAGTTGACGGCGTCGATGACATCCATCTGAGGCACCGAAGCCAGGACCAGAGGATTGTACATAACACTGTAGCCCGTCATGGTCAGCAGGACGCCGATGTCGGCCAGGGCAAGACCCAGCAGCGAGATGTTGATGGTGTCGGACACACCCAGTCTGACGAAGACGACGACGCTGACGATGTTGAAAACGACTCCCGGAGTCGAAATTAAGGCCGAGAGGATGACATAGTTCACGAATATAAAATCATGCATGACCTCATCTCTTTCAGAGCTCACAACTGAATCTCCAGTCGTCCTACTGACATTTACGATTGACGACATGTCAGTGGGATGTCGGGCAGGAAGTAACAATCAAAGTATACTGCGCCTTTATCGTATGTACATTTTTATGACATATTTCCGGGCCCGTTTTTCAACGTTTAGCCGAGTACCATATCGACTTAAGTTATTTTTCTTTAATTTCTGTTCAACTTGGTTTAAATTTGCAGTGTCGCCCCTTCCAGATTTCCGTCGATAACCGCATAATATGACCTACGATTATCTACAGGCTATAATTTGATATAGCGACAGATTAGAATAAGACAATAACGAGTATTGTTCTGTGGTACTACTTTGCGTCCAGTGATCGCTTTAAGCCACCGTTTAGCAGCACGTGAATTTAAAATAATCTCACAGCCATCTTTCTCCGTTGGGTATTGACGGTACTTTTTAAGGTTACTTATTAGATATTTGAGATAGTTTTTAAGGTTACTTATTAGATATTTGAGATAGTTTTTAAGTACTCGTTTGTTACGGCTTATTAAAAATAATTTTGGCATTCGTTTATTTAAATTTCTTTTGAAGCAAGGAACTATGGAGATGACTTTATTTAATTCTATATTTCGTGATGTTTTGTAATGTGCAGCATTTATTTTTATATAATACATCCCACAACCGGAACGTCAAATACACCTGATTATGTATTAATTATACAGAAGGAAGTCGTTGTGTTTACGGTTATCTTACGTCCCACAGAAATCATGTACCGTTCCTCTAGTGGTCGTCTGGTGAACAAAGAGAGTACGACCCGAAACTATCGTGGTGCTGGGATTTCCTCAAATCACATTTGTTATGACTGGGTAACAATTGAAGATACGTATGAGATGAGATCGACTTTGGTGTATGAGTGATGTCTTACGATTCAAAGCATAGCGATACTTAGCATACATATGATTAGGCTTTAACGGAAGTTGCAGGTAACAACGTATTCGTTGCAGTTAATTTTTTGTCCCAAAAAATTATTTCTATTTATCTTTGTTCTCAGCAATTAAAAATCTCGGGACACCCAGTTTTAACGAAAGATATGCTACACACCAAGTTTAGACGACAGATATGCTACACACCAAGTTTAGACGACAGATATGCTACACACCTAGTTTAGACGACATATTGCTACACACCTAGTTTAGACGACATATTGCTACACACCTAGTTTAGACGACAGATATGCTACACACCTAGTTTAGACGACATATTGCTACACACCTAGTTTAGACGACATATTGCTACACACCTAGTTTAGACGACAGATATGCTACACACCTAGTTTTGACGACATATTGCTACACACCTAGTTTAGACGACAGATATGCTACACACCTAGTTTTGACGACATATTGCTACACACCTAGTTTAGACGACAGATATGCTACACACCTAGTTTATACGACAGATATGCTACACACCTAGTTTTAACGACACATATGCTAAACACCTAGTTTTGACGACAGATATGCTACACACCTAGTTTTGACGACAGATATGCTACACACCTAGTTTTAACGACAGATACGAATCACACCTACTTTTGACGACAGATATGCCACACACCTAGTTTTAACGACAGATATGCTACACACCTAGTTTTAACGACAGATAGCTACACACCTAGTTCAGACGACATATATGCCACACATCTAGTTTTGACGAAAGATATGCTACACACCTAGTTTAGACGACAGATAGGCTACACATCTAGTTTTGACGATAGATATTCTACACAACTAGTTTTAACGAAAGATATGCCACACACCTAGTTTTAACGAAAGATATACTACACACCTAGTTTTGGCGACATATATGCTACACAACTAGTTTTAACGAAAGATATGCCACACACCTAGTTTTAACGAAAGATATGCCACACACCTAGTTTTAACGAAAGATATGCCACACACCTAGTTTTAACGAAAGATATGCCACACACCTAGTTTTAACGAAAGATATGCCACTCACCTAGTTTTAACGAAAGATATGCCACACACCTAGTTTTAACGAAAGATATGCCACACACCTAGTTTTAACGAAAGATATGCCACACACCTAGTTTTAACGAAAGATATGCCACACACCTAGTTTTAACGAAAGATATGCCACACACCTAGTTTTAACGAAAGATATGCCACACACTAATTTTTAATGACAAGTATTGCCTCGAAGGTAGGAGAGCAACTTTACTTTTTATCTGCTTTTAAAACGCTGATGCTTTGGTTGCTCTGTGCGTTGATAGTTTGTCGTCAAATCTTGCATCACAATTTCAAAACACACCCTGATCTCCAATTGAGCAGAAACTTTGTAACACTTACTAGCGCCCGATAAAAATACAACCCCTCATGATCAGTAGGTCACCAAAGACATGCACTGTCCTTTGGGTGATAACTGTTGGTCAAATCTTGCTACTCAATTTTGACCAAATCCGTGATCTCCAATTGAGCTTAAAATTTCTACAATTTCCCACCCCGATGTTATTAATTTGTGCTTTTACAACTTTCAAACCTATGGGTATTAAAATAGGATAAAATAATGGGAAAAAAGTTTTTAAATAAAAACACGCTTTTTCATAAATGTACATTTAAATATAAACTATATGTTCCATAAAACTTTAATGTGTCATAATGTACATTTAAATATAAACTATACGTTCCATAAAACTTTAATGTGTCATAATGTACATTTAAATATAAACTATATGTTCCATAAAACTTTAATGTGTCATAATGTACATTTAAATATAAACTATATGTTCCATAAAACTTTAATGTGTCATAATGATATGACTAATAAAGCATGAATTGAAAGTTCTTGTCAAATTGCAAAGACATGCACGCAGCGATATCGCCATTTAACAATTTAAAAATACAAGACATCTAAAGAATTTCTCTAGCGTTGAAATCAGCCACCAATGAACTCCTTTAGTGACATTCATGGTATTGTTAAAATATCATTTAGATTTGATAATTTAAGTTTATGTTTAGAGAAAAAAATTGAGAAGGGTATACATATAATATATAGCAGATAAATATTTCTCTCAACTTAATGATGTTAGAAACGTAAACATTATTACATAGATACTTCTTTTTGAAATAAGGAATTATGATGAGTTTTCGCAAAGTCTTTACAATTATTATCTCGATAACATCGGGTCATATATTCTAGTAGTATTAGGAAACATGAATGAAAGAGTATATCCCAGAACAATAAGGAGACCCAAGAGCAATAAGAATATATAAGAAATAGAAGGATATATGAGGACAATGAAGACTTAAAAGAGCGTTAAGATTATATAAGGATAGTAAAGATATACCAAAACCACAAGGATATAACATTAGAAGAATGAGGTTATATCTGAAAAATGAGGATTTCCCTTGACATGTACCTAAAAAATGACAGGCCCACTCGGCCCACGATCCCTTGACATGGGGTTCGAGGCAGAGGCGTAGCGAAGGGGGGCAGGGGGGCGACAGATGTCCCCGGGCGCCAGCTAGTTATGGGCGCCAAAATGTGCGTTGATATTATTTTATTGATGAAAATAATGGACTTGAGAGTTGAAAAAAAGAAAAAGGGGCGCTTTAAAATGGATCTTGTCCGCGGGCGCGAATCTTGTCCCCGGGCGCCAAACACCCTCGCTACGCCTCTGGTTCGAGGTACTCATAACGCGTTGAGTTTTAACAACACTATTGGAGGTGAGCCTTGAAGGTTCTACAGAAGGTGAGCCTTGAAGGTTCTACACAAGGTGAGCCTTGAAGGTTCTACTCCAGGTGAGGCTTGAAGGTTCTACTCTAGGTGAGCCTTGAAGGTTCTACTCGAGGTGAGCCTTGAAGGTTCTATTCGAGGTTAGCCTTAAAGGTTCTACTCGAGGTGAGCCTTGACGGTTCTACTCAAGGTTAGCCTTGAAGGTTCTACTCAAGGTAAGCCTTGAAGGTTTCATTCGAGATGAGCCTTGAAGGTTCTATTCGAGGTTAGCCTTGAAGGTTCTACTCCAGGTGAGCCTTAAAGGTTCTACTCGAGGTAAGCCTTGAAGGTTCTACTAGAGGTTAGCCTTGAAGGTTCTACTTGAGATGAGCCTTGAAGGTTCTATTTGATGTTAGCCTTGAAGGTTCTACTAGAGGTTAGCCTTGAAGGTTCTACTCCAGGTGAGACTTGAAGGTTCTACTCGAAGTGAGCTTTGAAGGTTCTACTCAAGGTGAGCTTTGAAGGTTCTACTCCAGGTGAGCCTTGAAGGTTCTACTCGAGGTGAGCCTCTCCTCGTGGCCAGGTCACAGTGCCAGGTCACTTCTCTGCTTTGTTTTGCTCATCTGCATTTCCCACTTAACTCTAGTGTGTACGTTTGTTTTTTTGAAACAAGTTTTACCAACAAAGTAATTTATGAGATATCTCGTGAATAGTTTTGTTCAGTCTTCTCCCCTCCTTTTTTTTTTCTTTTCAACAGGGTTGACTACAAGATTTCAACAGTGTTCGCGTTTTTTTAAACGTTAAATCCAGATGATAATCACCAACAAATCTTTATCATAGTCAAACAGTGCACACCAAGACATCATAAGGCTTCGTCGCGTAAAAGACCCACAAACCTATATTGTGTGGAACACGTAATGCTTTGATTAGGGTTTATCTTTTCACGGGTTTATTCTTTCTTCCAAACATTGACAGAAACATCTCTTTAAATTTCGAGCTCATTTTGAAGTAGATGAAAATATTGGCGCTCGAATTGATGGCTTCTAGAACAAAGAACACAGAGAAGCAGCAGATGAAAAGGGATTTTCCCGTGCCCTTGACATTGAAGTCTTTGAGAAAGATCATGACCAGGTTACCCACGACTGTTGGCAGGGCGCAGACGATGAAAACTGTAGATAGGATGACGATCATTTTGACCAGTTGTTTGTCACGAATGGACACGTGGTTGAGACGAGCACACACCGAGGTCGACTTCCTCCACTTAGCGACTCTGATTAGGGACCTCACCAGACCAAGTGTGGACATTGTGACTACAGCAAATGCTGTCATCT